TTTTCTCGTAACTAATCAACTTATCAAAGTCTTTTACTGGTTATTTTGTTTACGAAAGAGGTATAAAACATTTTCTGCCTACTCAAACTCGATGACAAAAATGCAAAAAGATTTGTAGGATTCCCTTTCCATTACTCCTGGTTAATGTTTAGGTTCAGAATTAAGAGTTTATGACTAAAGTTTAGAAAATGGGTTGATTCGCAACTTATATACAACTTACGTACAAAAAAGATATTAGATAGTTAATACGTTTAACACCTTTCTTTTCACATTGTGGCGAGAACGAAGACGTAACTTTTTGTCTTAATTTTAAATGTTCTTTGCAATATACAAAGGTTATTTCTGTCATTTATGTTTTATGATATATAGTAAGATATATTCATTGGCAAAGCAAGGGAAGCATTTTTACAAACGAATAACATTTAGAACCCAAAAGTACTATCGATCAACATTAAAGTCACAAATGTCAACACAGTTCTACTGTATGGGACTGAAACTTGGAGAACCACGAATGCCATCATTCACAAGATACACATGTTGATTAACATTTGTCTACGCGAAATACGTCGGATCTGCTGGCCGGATAGCATCAACTACAACTACTACTACTGGTGGAGAAAACACTAGATTCCAGTGAATGAAGAAACCGTAACAATTGGATACACATTGAGAAAAGCATTAAACTGCATTACAAGACAAGTTCTCACTTGGAATCCCCAATGCCAAAAGAAAAGAAGAAGATCAAAGAAGAAATTACGCCAAGAAATGGAGACAGACATGAGAAGTATGAAGTAAAATTGGACAGAACTGGAAAGGGAAGGCTTAGGACAGAGTAGGTTGGAGAATAGTGGTTGGTAGCCTATGCTCCATTGGGGGTAACAGGCGTAAGTAAGCAAGTAAGTACATAAGAACGCAAAAACCATATCCTCGATCATCCTTCGGCTCATCCTTATACAATACTTTTACTGATGATTATCTTGCTTCGAACAAAGAATACAACTCATATTATTATATAAGCTGATAAATTGATATAAGGGAAAGTGATAATGAAAAAAAATAATAAAATGAATAAGTACTACCATATTGACAAAATGACAAACTAATTCGTATTACGTAACAAACTTGATCGAAATCCATACTAATCATATAACGCGAATAAACATAGTATGTTTATTTGATTAATCAGTAATATCGTTAGTTTCATTGAAATAATGAACCAATCACTTTTAGCAACCGGAAATCACTGAATGGACGTTTTGTTTTAGTGGGTATTCACGACCCTAGACAGCAGGAGTCGAACACAGGACCTTCGGCCATGAGCGAGAAAGCTTAGCCCAAAGGTCCTAGGTTCGATTCCATCATTCAATGAAATTTTCAATGAAACGTTTATAAGTATATTTCTGATTTTCATATGAAATTCAGTGCCTGTTGTGATGGCCAAGTCGAGTTATGCTGAATGAAACAGTTATTAATTTAGATTGTATTATGACGGTACAGATACAGTAGGCTTGGTTGGTTTTTGCCAATTTGTGTCACCTATGGCGTAGGCGAAATATCTATCTACTAACTAAAGGATGAGTTGAATGCACGGCAGCTTGTTCAATCCTAGTATACAGGTGTGAGACATGGCCAGTAAGAGTAGAGGCTATTTTCTTAGGTTACTAGTATTTGATCAGCGGTGTCTTTGAAGCATTGCTCGCAGATCCTGAGACAATCGGGTAGGCGATGCTCAGATGAGAAAAAAGGTTCTAGGTAAGGATGACAGATCAATAGATATAGTAGTGAAACTCCATCAGTTGAGGTGGTTGGAACATGTGTTACGAATGCCCATGAGAGGCCATGAGCGAGAAAGCTTAGTCCAAAGGTCCTTGGTTCATTTGCATGATTTGAATAAAACTCAACAGTCTCCACAACCCTATAATGACAATATTGTTGGGATTCCGATCTGTTGATAAATAATTAGTACATAATTTTACAGAAAAAGTATTCAGATAACATTTTCTAGGCAAGCTGTTTCATGAATTTTAAGATATTATGAAGATAAAAGATCTTGTTTAGTAAATCATAGCAATAATGCAAATGATTTTATGGGAAAAATGTTTCATTTTCTTGGAACTTGACTATTATCAATCGAAAAAATATCCTTACTATGTAAATATTTTGAAATCATAAAAAATGACCGAATAATTCTTAAGATTATATCTAATATAATAGTAATAATAATAATAATAATCCACGAACATCAAAGCGCTTAGGTTACTCTGTAAAATTGTAGTAAGAAGTACATTACTATGAAATCATGAGTCGATCAATGTTAGACCACCAACCGAAACCTGAAAGCACTAGATGGCCATTTTGTCTAGGCATAGGATTCATCAGCAATGCCCATCCCCGACTCCTACAACTCTCAGGTTTCGAACCCAGGACCTTCGGTCTCGCACGCAAACAATTAACCTCTGGACCAGTGAGGTAGCAGTTAACGGTGTCGAAGCCCTAACTTTGATCAATCCGCAGTCTTGCCCAACCTCATCCACTTTCTTCGATGAGCACTGCTTCACACACGAACAGGGTGGAACTCCACTAGTCACAACTTCTCAATAGAACTCGAAGAAACTTCGTCACAGAGCTAATAACTAGTGGGCACATGATAATTTGCATTAAACGGTTGTGGAGATTGTTAAGTTACCTTGAAATCATGAATCAGTATTACTTACTTACTTACTTATAGCCTGTTACCCCCAAATGGAGCATAGGCCGCCCACCGCCAGCCAGTAGAACCTTCTAGGCCTACTGCCGGTCCTAAGCCCGGATAAAGGAGGAGGGTTAGGCATGGGGTTGGTGACCCTATCCCACCAAAAATCTAACTTGTCAAAAAAAAACGCTAATCAGAAAAAAAATAAATCAAACTATTACTCAGTATTAATTTATCCTTTCAAATTATATAACAGATTATCAAGGAAAAGAGGTAATGCACTTGAGTTGTTTACTTAACAATAGTCCAGTCAGTATATGCTAATAAATTTACCATAAAAAAACAGTAACATATGAATTATGAACTATTGTGGTGTGAGCTACTTATAAGTAGTATATGACGTGAGTGTCAACGTAATGTCTGGCAGCAGAAGATGTGGGGGAAGATCAAGAAAGGAAGAGTTAGAAGAACACAATGGAATTTGTATGTGAAACGCATGAATAGTGACAATGGATTGTTGATGTTTTGCAACTGGAACAGTCCAGTTCGATATGATGAACTGATATTTTGCAAATTAACCACCGTTTACGATATGGTTTTCCAATTTTACTGAGTAACTCTGTAATTTTTGTTAAATACAATTCGGTTGCCCCACCTGTGTTCTCCTCCACTACACTATTACCGGACACCTCGGAGAAATTACTTGGAAAAACTCAATAACAAAATGGAAGTAAAAGGTTTAAATGACTTGTTTTTTCTACACATTTACTTAACTATAGTTGACCATATTTATAATCGACAGCATAGAGTCTTTTCTAAAGACATACATTCTACAGATCAAAAAATAAAAAATAAAAACTAATAATAATCATGTGTGTTTGTGTAATTAATATTACTCTGCACAGTCGCCGGTTTTATACACACACACACACTTAGGACCATGTATCATGTGACCTGACTTGAACACATATCTCTATTAAGAGTGAATAAAAGTTAATGAAAGATTTTGGAAACTGATATGACATACCATTACACGTATCATTCATTATCAATTCTAATGATATATATATATACATATAACACACGCACACTGGTATACGTTCCAATTAAAAAAGTATAAATTATATAAGTTTGGATTGTAAGTGAGCAGCAAGTTACACAGCATTGATTCAATCTAATTTTTTTAACAGGCTTTATTTAAAAATAAACAGTAATATTGTAGTGTAGAAATTGTGTTTTCAAAAAAAGAGCGATACCGCTGTAAAACTGTTATTCAATGAAAACAGCACAGAATTGATTTGATAATCAAGGGGTTGTGGAGATTGTTAAGTGACACTTTTGAAATCATGAATTGATCAATGTTAGACCACCATTAGAAGAAACCTGGAAGCACTGGAAGGCTGTCAAGTCCTGGTATGCGACTTATCACCGGTGCGCATCCACGACTCCTGCACCTCACGGGATTCGAACACTGGACCTACGGTCTTACGCGTGGACGCTTAACCTCTGGACCACAGGGCCGGCATCCGACGGTGTTAATGTCTAACTTCGATCAATTCACGAAGTTGAGCAACCTCATACACTGTCTTGGGTAGTTACAGTCTACATCCGAACAGGTTGAACTTCACTGGTCACGACTTCCAACTAGAACTCGGAGAAGATTCCTCACGAAGCTAGTCATTAGTGAGCACAGGTAATTTTCATTACGGGGTTGTGAAGATTGTTAAGTTACACATTTTTTGAAACCATGAATCGATCAATGATCAAAGTTAGACATAAACACTGTTAGATACCGGCTCAGTGGTCCAGGGGTTAGAGGCATTCGCGCGCAAGGCCAAAGGTTCCGGGTTCAAGACCTACGATGTGCAGGAGTCGTGGGTGAGCACTGCCACTGATGAGTCCCATACCAGGACGAAACGGCCGTCCAGTGCTTCCAGGTTTCAAGAATAATAATCATCAAACAAGTTACATAAATTATGTCTAAATCTCTCTCTGTGTTTCTGTCTCAAGTAGTGTACCTGGTTTCAAGCCATAATACAAGTGTGAGAAGTAATGATACTACTTGTTTACCCAAAACTGAAATAACTAGAGCAAAGTGGCTGAAACTGGGAATATTCTTTAACCGACTTCAGACTATTTGAATATAAGTCAGGAGTGTAAATGAAATGATATACTGTAAATCAGACAGGTGTTTTCAATAGATTCACATTTCTGTTTTTTGGTACTAAAAACGACTGAGAATATTAATAGATATGTATATATTTCTTAGCTCGTGAAAATAGCAATATTAATTAAATTATAAGCTTACTGTATTTACGTGAAGCAACAACAGATTGTAAAGTTTCTTGATTTCTAAACGATGAAGTATGTGGATAAGAATAATCATTGTCACCATCACCCCACCAACTTGGTTGTCCATAAAGTTCTGCACACAAAAAAATAATAAAATTACTTCAAATGAAGACAGGAACTTTGACGTTTAATGTATCTTAGAATATATTTCTAATACCCAGGTAAAAAATGCGATAAAAACAATAAAAATGACAATTTTGATTGCTTTATCATTGAAATCATCAATCAATCAATCAATAGGCCGTTTCTTCCTGGTATGGGACTCATCAGCAGAGCGCATTTAAGACTCCTGCACCTCGCAGGATTCGAACCCGAAGCCTTCGGTCTTCCTTACGGACGCTTAACCTCTGGACTATTGGGCCGACATCCGACGGTGTTAATGTCTAATTCTGATCAATCTGGAGAGTTTGCGCGACCACACCGATTTGTCTTCGGTAGTTACTGCCTAAACCCAACATGGTTGAACTCCAGAGGTCACGTCTTCTCACTAGAACTCAGAGGACTTCCTCACGAAGCTAGTCACTAGTGGGCACAATTTACGATATTTTCAATTAGAGTTATGGAGATTAGTGTTTTTACACATTTGAAATTATCAATCAGTCAATCATTGTTAGACCACTATTAGAAGAAACCTGGAAGCACTTGTTGGCCGTTTCTTCCTGGTATGGAACTCATCAGCAGAGCGCATCCAAGATTCGTGCACGTCACAGGATTCGAACCCACGACCTTCGGTCTTGCGTGATGATTTCAATATATAAAAACACTAATCTCCATAACTCTTTATTAGTTTTATTAGTTTGTTTACCCTGGAGAAAAGGAAGCAGACGTAATGAGGCTAAATAATAATGTTATCAACGATTATAAAAACAATTTAGTTAAATCAGTACTTAGTACATGATGACTGCAATTTAATTGCAAATACTTTCTAATCAAATGAATGCACGTGTAAACTATTAGTATTCATTGTCTGAAGTGAAATCAAATATCCGGTCTAGAAAGATATCGAATTTATTTTTATTTTTATAGACGGTAGAATTTATTTATAATCATCAATTCTTCCATAGTCATTTCAGATATTCGATTAGAAGAACCGGAACTTGAATATTCGTTAACTATATTACTATTTACTTGAGTGTAACTACTAGATTATTGCCATGTCTCATAAACTGAAGTTGTCTTTCATAATTAAAATTAATAGATTTCTTAAAACAAACTCTGCTAAATAACCACTGAATAATTAACATGAAAATAAGAGACTTTTAATGAAGAATATTTAGAAGAATTCTAATAGTGAAACAGGTCTACAACTCAGGTGAGTGTTTTTGTTGGTGTTGTTGGGGTTCTCTGGGCTAAATATATTTTAATTAAAGATTTTTCGGGGCAGACAAATGGGTGAGATCGCGCAAAATCCCTAGATCAATCAGAGATAGACATTAACACCGTTGGATGCCGGCCCAGTGGTCCAATGGTAAGGCGTTCGCCTACAATGCCAAAGGTCCCGGGTTCGAATCCTGCGAGGAACAGGAGTCATGGATGCGCACTGCTGATGAGTCCCATACCAGGACGAAATGGTCGTCCAGTGCTTCCAGGTCTCTAATGGTGGTCTAACAATGATTGATTGATGATGTCAAATGTGTAAAAAGATTTTCCATTGTCATTATTTACTTGATGTACACGTAAGTGATAATGATATTTTTCCCCCAGGAATAACAATGAAACTTGCATCACTGTAAATTTACGTAGCTCAGAGAATTCAACAAGATTAGGAAGGATAATTCTGTATTATTCAATCATATATGACTGAATTACAATATAGGATTAATAATTGAAAAGAAACTGACAGATTATAATATTTGAATAGAGATGACACTATTTATCGACTTAAAAAAATATGTCAAAAATACGCTAAAAGATATGATGCAATCGCAGATTAATGGATCGTTTCTTTAAGATAGAAGGATGTTTACAACAAACATTCTTGAGTGATAGACATTCTATTATTTAATAATATGAAGCTCACTGAATAAATAAATACAAGTATTTATTAACATTTGTCTAGGTAAAATACTTTGGATCCGCTGGTCAGACAGCATCAGCAACAACCTACTGTGGGAGAGGACAAATCAGATTCCAGTGGAGGAGGAAAATGGGGGGATGCATTGGAAGTGGGTATGACACATATTGAGGCAATCATTCAACTGCATCACAAGACAAGCCCTTACGTAGAACCTTCAATGACAAAGGAAACGAACAAGGACAAGGAACATATTACTCCAAGAAACGGAGACAGAACAGGAAAGGCAAGTCCAGGACAGAGTAAGTTGGAGAATGCTGGTTGACGGAGTAAGTAGGTCACTGATTAAAATATTGACATAAAATGGAGTTTATATTAATGTAATAAAAATCCTACACTTTACACTTATTTTATCATTACAATTTATAATATCTACATAAATAAGTAAGTAATTCTAGGAGTGCTAGTGTGGTGTGAGCTACTTATAAGTAGTATATGACGTGAGTGTCAACGTAATGTCTGGCAGCGGAAGATGGGGAGAGATCAAGAAAGGAAGAATTAGAAAACAATGGAATTTGTATGAAACGCATGAATAGTGACAATGGATTGATGTTTTGCAACAGGAACAGTTCAGTTCGATAGGATGGACTGATAATTTGCAAATTAACGGTGGTTACGATATAGTTTTCCTATTTTACTGCGTAATTCTGTAATTTTCGTTAAATACAATCCGGTTGCCCCATCTGTGTTCTCGTTCACTACACTAGTAGTAACTTAAGCCCACATACATGTGTCAGGTTCTACCATGTAAATGGTTGATTGACTAAATACAAATAGTTTAATCTTATTACAGAATATTAAAATAAGTTATGACTAGACAAGTTTTATCGATTGTTGCTTAGATCATAACCAAGAAATACATTGGTCAATACAGTATCAAAGAAATTTAGCTATTTATTTTAGATGAGTGATTTTTAAATAGTAACATTAGTTTGGATAGTCAGCGAACGCTATTGGTTCGTATGCGAAATGTATAGATGTTGAATTTGAATCACAGATCTATGAATAATTTGTATGTTAAGTTGTAGAAGAAATAATAATGATAGGATTGATTACGCTAGAAGCACTAAACGTCGATATCCCTAGAACTTTTCTTTAACATTTCTTTTCTCAAATACATCAGCCAATTATATAATATTTTGATGACTCTGGCGTCTAGATGCCTTAAAAGAATATTATAAAGGTTTCGAAATTATATTTTGTTCTTTTCAAGAGTTGGACTTTTACTGGGCGATTTACTTATGGACTTAGAATATGCCGAGGACATAGATCTACATGGTGAAGACTATGACAAGATGCATAGTCTTCTGACTATCTTAAACAACAGTGCACGTATGTTCGGGATGCGGTTTTCTCACAACCTCACAGCAAAATATTGCTTCAGGATTGGCTTGCGTCGGCACCTGAACTAGTGATAGGGAGTGAAGTAGTTGAGCGTGTTGACCGCTTCACTTATCTTGGGAGTCTCATTAATGCTGATAGCCTGGTGACTGAAGAAATCTCAGCACGGATACAGAAGGCTCGATTGGCTTTTAACAACTTGCGTCACCTATGACGTAGACGAGATATCCGTTTGCTGACTAAAAGACGAGTGTACTGCGCAGTAGTTCACTTCGTCCTATTTGATGGCTGTGAAACATGGCCAGTCAGAGTAGAAGATATTCGTAGGTTGTTTGTCTTCGATCAAGTAGTGAAGTGAAACTTCATCAGTTGAGGTGGTTGGGACATGTGTTAGGAATGCCCAACCACCGACTGCCTAGACGAGCTATGTTTTGTGGTGCAGGAAGAGGTTGGAAGAAAGTTAGGGGCGGCCAAAACAAAACATGGCACAAATGCATGAAGTCACTGACAAGTGGACTGAGTCATGTTGGCAGGTGTAGACTAGCTGGTTGGGATCCACGAGACGGTAGCAACCGACGGTTAGAGACTTTGAATGACATTGCTCAAAATCATTTGCAGTGGTGCAGATGCATCCACTCTTTGTGTTCTCTCAAAATATAATCTTTTGGATTCTTCATCACCTTTATCTTTCTCTCCTTAAATTAATTTCACTGCCTTATACTTTTTGAATATCTTCGAACCGTTTGCCGTTACAGATAATACTTTTACTACCTCTAGTGCTATGGGCTTCCAATTGACAATTGCGTCTGTGCTAGTGTGGTAGGGCAACTTGAACTTGTGTACGTACGTTCTAAGTTTTACATTGTAGCTGACTGACTGAATTTCTAATATAGCACACTCATGTGGTTAGTTCGTGATAATATAAACTAAGAGATGTGGTTGGTAATATTCAAAATCTATGTGGCTGGTTACCTGCATTTCATTTCAGAATTACCCTCAACACTAATTCAATATACATCCCTACTATGGCGAAGAAATCAACTACTACATTACACATAAAAGTTATTTAGCTTTAAATACCTTTTATACTCTTCCTGGAAGCTATTAATGACAAATTGGCTTCTTTGGTTTTCGAAGCAAAGACAGGGTTAGAGCTTCCGGTTTTCGGGGTAGTGATAGAATCTGTGGTTGGTTGTTGTAAAATGTTATCATGTGGACTGTATATAGGCTTTTGAAAACTTTGGAGTACACTTGGGCAGTTTGAAATTGAGATATCACCGGAGACTGAGTTTGCCTTTTCTAATGTATTTTTCATATAATGATCCTGTACATCTGAGATAGAAGGAATTTTGTGTTTTTGGTCAATTATAAGGGAGTTAATTTCAGACAGACTAGTTAATGTTTGATTTTTTGTGTTAGTAAGTGAGTTCAAAAACAGATTTTCAGTAGAAGGAGAATCTAATTGATCGTTTCCAAAAGGTGGGCTTTGAACTGAAGAAAAGACACCATCTTGTTGAAGTGACAAAGGACTAGGAGGTTTGTCTTCAATAATTTCGGAATTACGTGAATGTCCATGTCTTATCTGAAAAGTCCAAGCGCAACAGGAAAATATGTACAGTTAAAAAAAGTATTAATACACTACCATATCCCACAAATCAAACAAGATATTACGCAGGTAAAAATATCAAGTGGAAATTAACTTTTCAGCAAAAGAAATGATTATAACATGGTCAATATTTATATGCAAGTTGTTTAGTTATACAACACGCATTACATAGATGTAGATGCAGTAGATGAACTAAGTCAAAAATATGAGTGCTAAACATTTGATTGAGGCATAAACTTGATGTTACTAATTAGATGAGAACAGGTATGAATAAAAAGTGCAATGGTGATTAATACCTGTTATCTATTGACAGAAGTTTTGATTTTGTGAATGCATATGGTATAGTGTTCTAGACCTATCGGCGCTGTACGTCTAAATGATGGTTGGTTTCTACGAATATTAATAGTGTTTTTGTGATAAATGTAAGAGCTTGGGTCTGTACTCAGCTTGTTGGCAGGCAATCGTATACAGAGGGACTGCTTGTTAGAATTAATAATCATATATATACTGATGCGTAACAGATCACGATTTGAGTTCCCTGACGAAAATTAAGACGCAAGGCATCAGTTCAAACCGTTTCGCTCTCGCAAAGACATAAAACTGGCTGCAACAATGAGATGAACACATCGGTTACAGGTCTAGTGTTAATTTTCACAGAACTTGTCTTCTTGGATAGAAAAAATTTGGTATCTTCATATCCTAAGATTGTCGCATTGATCGCACTAACTTATATTTAATATAAACTAAACACAATTTTTTATTGTGCCATTTGAAAGATTAAACGTGGAACTGGAAAAATAAATATTACCGTGGTGCCTGAAATCTATGTAACTGAAGGGCAGTAGATATTTATAAGTATAAATTATTAAATTAAAGTAAAAAGCTTACATCAAAACATGTTTGGTCATTAGCGCTTTCCCGCGGACTAAGCGAATGATGACTCGACATTTCAGAGTCAAGGTTAGTTTATAAGACAGAAAGCTCCAGCTTGGTACAGTATCACCAACAAACGAAAGTGCATTCAGTACAATTTAATATGTCCTGACATCGAATTTTCAAGAAGAGTGCATATTAACGGTGTAAGGAACACCAGATAATCATAAGTAACAAACAACATGTACCGCACCATTGGAAAAAATTGCCAACTAAGTAGATGTTATACACTTGCATAAAACACACATTTAATTAAACAGTTTACTCTGAGTAGCTTGCAGTGGGAGCATTTTCTCGGAAATGTTTGTGAATAGAAGCTGTAAGTGACTACTAGCAAAAAAGTGAAATGATCTTCATTGTCAACAGGTTACGAATACAAAAAAATTCAGAATATCTGTAAAAAGACCATTTCAAGAAGCGGCACCATTTACAAAAAACAGTTGGCTTGCGACAGCATGTTTACCCGAAACGATCGTATATACACAGTTAACATGGAATAAAGTGCACTTTTGGAATTCCTTCATTATTGCCGCACAAAAATTCTGATGTACACACTGAGTCAGATTTTATCAAGGCTGAAAATGTATCAAACTACTATCGAGTTACCAGCTATAGAACCAGTACATGTCACTAAGGAAGCTGTTTTGGAACAAGATAAGTTATCGGGTCTTGATGAATTACACCCTCACAAACATTATTGTTGAACCATGCTGTTCAGACTAAACTCTCCAGGGCCTGAAAGTATGCTATGATTAACCCTATATTTAAGTGTTGTCAGAAACAAACCGTGTCTAACTACCGATATATCAGTCTAACCAGCATCATAGTTCAGTTACCTCCAAAAGCAAGTTAATTCAGGTAAAATTTAAAAAATCCGTAAACTCAAAAGCACCCATGCTTAACGTACTTACTAATAGCGAGAAAAGATGGAACAACAGCTCAAATTAACCGTGTATCAGTTAACCGGATATTCACAGATTTTATCTGAAAGTTAGAAAAAGTTTTTGCATTAGTCTTTCGCAGCAGTGCTGCAGTACATGAGTGAGTAAGTAAAAAACTTCCTCTGTGGTTAAAGATAGGATAAGAGTAACTGAGACACTTTTCTAACGGAAGCCGTTCAGATTCGATATACTACAAAGTACCATCTTGGGGCTCCGTTTATTCTCTACTTTGGTGAATCGAGGAGACTGATCTATCTATCTACACTTTTATTCGCAGATATAAAACGGTGGAAAACTATAAGATGTGAGGCTGATCATTTCGAGCTCTAAGCTGATCAGGACCTATCAGTTAGACGGTCTCTTAGACGGGGCTTCCAATTTAATTCTAGGAAGAGTGTGCTAATGCATATCGGACTGTTAGTTATTTTCATAACTAACCAATCAGATCTTCGTTTAAGCGCTCACCGAGTGATCTGGTCCTTATTGACCCCTTCAGTTCTACATTTTGTTAATCCTTTCGATTCCATTGTGAGATGAGAATATTTGTACTGTATTAGAGTTTCAACTTCTGTGCCTATACTGAGTTTCCGTGTTTCATTCTGAATTGCATTATATTGTTTAAACTGATACTTAGTTATGGCGACAGTCATATTGATTTTGTTCCTTTGTTGCCTGAAGCGCTTACACTGACTTGAAGTATGCAATTTAGATCGTGATATGGAGCACTCTTCCAGAATTGGAAACACTACGTTATAAGAGGGATAGAATATCATTCATTTGAATAAGTAAAGGAATAACGCGGTAATATTGTTTAGGTGATGATTTTTATTTATATTTATGATTATAATAGAACCGTTACTTATCCAGTCACTTGTTTGGGATTTAAAATGGGCAAGGCAAATATCTAAACTACCTGGACAGTTATTCCTCAATCCAAATCTCATTTTGGATCTTACAACCACCGCTTTGCTGTTCAGTGCTCTGTTTTGTGCAAGAGAAACCTCTGAATTTATGTCACAGTCAGTACCTTTTGAAGTAGTTTGTACTTTGAAATAATTTATTCTCTCCCTTATATCAGAACAGACTGAACTTTGATGTAATTAATTACGAGTCACTCAAGAATGCTTCATTCATTAAGCAGAAGGACTTGGTTTGTTCTAACAGAATTAACCTTGTTTTGTTAAATCTACGTTTAGACATTATTTTTTGTCTGCTTGTTGCAATAATGGTCTTAAAAGTTTGTGGTTCACGATGTTATCTGGTTATCAGTTGCTGTTTCAAAGATTTTTATGTCTAAATCATTGTAAAACCTTTGACGAATGATTAAGATGGTGCAAATAGAGAGGCTGTCAGCCCTCAGGCTATCAACGCTCTATAGACAGTAGCACACAGTTCAACTGATGAGGGAAATTGTACTGTATAGTTAAGATTTAAGCCATCAATAGATCACTTAGCTATTCTACCAAAAATAATAGACCAATTCAACAATAGTAGAATTTTCAAGATGTGACTACCTAATATATAAGATCTTACATGAAAGTCACATCATGGTTTATACAGACTCGTCCTGTCGTGATTGTCAGTAGTATGCTTTGCAGTACTTTTTATGAACTCATTTGAAATGGTACTAAAATATGAAGAGCAAGAAGTTTGCAAAAATCTAAAATCTTTAGCTTTCAATCGAATTAATGAGTATGGACTAACACGGCTGTGCCAAAAGAACATTTCGGACACCAAGAGCTGGTGATCGAAAGCCGCCTCAATGGATTGCACTTCCAAAAAGCGCATTAACAAGCGCGTCCAAGATGGGTCTACTGGTTCTCGCACTGTAAAAGCACACTGATGTGCAGTCAAACAAATGAAGCTCAGAGTCGATTAACTAACATGAACCGAAAGAAAAAGGACTGACTGCAAATAAGTCAGTTAGGATTCAAAACTCATTAACCCGGTTTCATCTGTGCCTTACCCTCTCAGGCTGCAGAAATCAGGAATCTCCTATAAAACCTAGTTGTAATGCTAGGATTTTTTTCAGAAGAAAAAGCAGTTTTATCACTCGACTCAAGGGCTTCCATCCAGGATCACACAGTGTGTTTATCGCTACTGTGACTAATACTCCAGAAAAAAAATTATGAGTGGATATAAAGCAATAAGAAGAAACAATTTCGTGTGATGACAGAAAAACCAGTCTCCTTGAATATAGTTAAGAAATTAACGTCTATTTTTGATGGCCAGTCAGTTTTCCCCCAGAGTTAATGAGGGCGAAAGCTCTGACCCTAGAACTAACTTGGAACATGACATTGGGTTGATAAAAAGTTCACTTTAAAAACCGATGCTTTAAAATATCTCTAGGTTCATTTTACTGAGAGTCTTTCGGACTTGGCAGCCGAGGCCACGGAAGGAGATCATATGAAGGAGCTAAAGTTAGCATCTATATCTTCCGGTGGGAGATATAACATTACATAATTGAAGTGAACTAAAGACATTAGATGTATATCCGGAGTGACTGGTCCCTTTCTGACGTACAAAAGCACAAGCGGAGAAAGAGCTATGATTAGGTTTAAGTACTAGTGGAAAGGTCTTCATAAACGTGAATTTTTGATTGATCCAACTTTGATAGAGAATGATACTGAGACCGAATTGAATGAAGCACAATGTTAGGCGTAGAGAGGGGCTCCACGAGGCCGCATGTAAATATGGGCATAGAAACTCTATTGACAGTAGAACACTTGGTTTCAACTATTTAACAGTATTAAAAATTGATAGAATCCAGAAACGTAATAACAGTAATATTGTTATTCATTCTCAAATAACAGTGTGTTACAAAAGGTATGTCAGTTTATGGGCAAGAAGATATTGTTGTAAATGCTGCCATTTTACTGCAATCGGATACTCAGAATAACAATCATAGTATTTTTTAGGTACTCGGCCGAGTTTTTGGGTGACATTCATAATTCAGACGGTATTCACGAGACATTGTTTAATGAGATTTACTTGAAGAGTATTTGTGTGATGGAACAGGTTAGTAAGTCCTTATTCGTTGGAAAGTGTTTGCTGACTGCTTGGTATATGCTACGTACGCGTAGGTGAGAAGTGGGTTTGTTCATGATAGGTTCCCTCTCTTTCATCGTAATCAAGAACATACACGCAGAAGGTTAGTTAAACCTCAAAGGATAAGAGCTGCTGATTGGCTTGATTTATTGCAACATAAACTGTTGGGTGAGCAAAGTATTATTAAGTAAAATCAACATTTGATCTCCAAGTAGTCGATCATTAGTTTTAGGAGACCCCCATATATCTACGGCAGACTGAAAAATTTAAGGAATGAATTCGCAGATTCTTTCTAATAGAAATTGGCTGACGCGGTTAGCCATGTCGATGCTCAGATATTTTTGACCTTGAATACAGTATTTGTGTAGTTTCTAAATTGAGGATGTTTCGAGTATGGTTAGTTTAGATATACGTGCTCTTACTTACTTACCCCTTTACATCTAATGCAACAAAAGCTGCCACACATGATATCTCTAGTGGCCATACTGATTTATTTCTTCGTCATTGGCTCAAGATCAAATGAAAGGTCCTCAGGTGCTGCTTCGATGTTGTGTGAGTTCAGTAAAGCGTGTCATGTGTGCTCCTAGACATTCGAAATTCAAAACAAATTCGTCTGAAGACGGTTCTAAATAAAGTTATATCTATTGATGTAAATAACTACCGAAGAAAATATCATCGCCCAGTTCTTTAACTAGAGATTGTTCAGGGAAGCTAAGTGAGCAACAGAGAGACCACCACTGCCAGAACTAACTGTCATCACCCCTGCTTACTGTCCTTTCCAAAATGAAACTGACAATCTGTCAATAAAGTGAGTATAGGTTTAAATAAACTAAGATAGAGTTCGAAAGAATTGCTTTTGATGCTAAAAATACATAAACGTTGAGCCATCTTACAACACTATAAAATCCACTTTCTTCCTTAAAATACGCTGTCCGATCTTGGACGTTGGATACGTAACGTATTCTTCAAAATTATAAAAGAACGAATTTATTTATGCAAATAATAGTTCAGTGTTAAAATACTAGTTCAATGTGTCTAACTGACGAAATTCTACGTATAAAATGAAGGTATGTCATTCTTTGAATCTCCGTTTGCGGATTTGTTTCTCTATGCTATGTTGTAGGTCGAAACATAAAGCGGTGAATACACCGTGTTCTGAGATGATGCGTGTTATGGTAAAAAATCAAGTTTTCGAAGTATCCCCTCGTTATACTGAC